ATCTTTTTTGTTTTGTTTTGTTTTGTTTTTTTGAGACAGGGTTTCTCTGTGTAGTCTTGGCTGTCCTGGAACTCACTCTGTAGACCAGGCTGGCCTCGAACTCAGAAATCTGCCTGCCTCTGCCTCCCAAGTGCTGGGATTAAAGGCATGCGCCACCACTGGCCAGTGGATGTGTGCATTTTTAAGTTGGCAATTTCTGAAAGACAGAGGCTGTTTGAGGATACTGTTTGAATTGAGCTCTGACAAAACCAAATCTTTTCTTAATTTACTCATTCATTTTAGAAGGCTGAGTTCACACAAGTATACCTCCGATGTGTGAAAGTTCTGTGCAATTGACATTCCAGTGTGCCCAGAAATCAAACTCACCATGGCTCTTTTGGAACTGTAACAGAAACACAGCTCCAGAAATCGAAACTATTTGTTACCTGGCCTGTTAAGGGCAATGGTTTGCCTACCCACGGGCTGGATGGCAGCTTCAGGTGGGACTGAGCAGTAGGACCCTCCCCAAAGTATGGATGTGCCTTCCTGCAACTCTCCCCTTGGACACAGAGATGCTGAGAAAACAGGATGTGTCCTGACCTTGTAATTCTCTCCCTTCTCTGTAAAGCTGCAGGAAAACTTTTATAGTTCTACCGAGTGCCTGCATCCTTGCCTATTGGCAGGTAGGCTAGCCTGGGCTAGGTCATGTCAGTGTGGAACAGCCTCCCCCAACCTCTGGAAGCCTTTAAGAATCAGAAGCTCACTTTGTACTATGGATTTGACACCTCCCCCCCCCCACCCTCTCTCCCTCCCTCCCTCCGACCTCCATCATGCTATCTCTGGTATATCTCTTAAAGCTTTCTCACTCAGCAGTGAAGGTGAGATGCACTATCCTAACAACACTCATCTGAAGGGTAACTCATGACACTTTTTTCCTATGGGCCTATCATTCTTTTATAAGTTATGACACATGGCAAATTTCCCGCCGGTGGTCATTTTAGACCTTATTAAGAAGGGGACAGCTGAATGTTCCTATAGGAAGCTTTCAAGATAAGCACTAGTTAGTCACAGGGAAAACGCTAGCAGCTCTTACCGAAGTAGTCAAGCCAGTTCATGACTTGCAGAGCCTTGGGGAGCCGAAGGACCTCGATGTTGTAGAGATTTTCTACCTCTTTGAGGAGGGTCTGTCTGTCGGATTCAATTTGCTTGATTCGAACTTGCACTACAAAGAGGTGAAAGCGGACGGATCCCGCGTCAGGTGTGCGAAGCCATCACACCTGCGTCCCAATCCACCCAAAACTCACGATCACACGAATCCATCCCTTACCCTCGCGGTCGAAGTCCTTCAGGAAGGAGGCGAGCTTCCGGCTCCGCTGCGTGTTGGTTTTGGTCCCGCGGCTGCTGCGTTTCTTGGACGGCATGGCGGCCGGGTGTGTTGAGCGAGGGGTCGAGCTGCCGGGTCAGCGACTGATATGGGGAAAGAAGGCGTGAGCAGCGAAAGTTCAGTCGTTGGAGTCTAGGTATCCAGAACTCTGCGGAAACGTACCTGAGGGCCCCAAAACACAGACGCGGAAACCTCACAGCTCCAACTAAGGGACGGGCAGCTCCTCGGGTAACCGCCACCCAATTCAAACTCAACGGACACAGCCTAGCCAATAGCAACTCGCCTTCTTTGGAAGTTCTCACAACGCCCAATCACAATAAAGCTTCTTCTCCCTCCGACAGCCAATCCTCATAGAGGACTTCAATGGCCAGAAGTCATTGCGGCATACGCCATCTTTTCGCGACTCCAGAGCGGTGGAACTAGAGTGGTGAGTTCTCACTGGTGAGCGTGCAGACAGTGCCAAGCGTAGTGTAGTTTTTAATGTCAACTCAGCGTTGACAACCCAGGATTTACGTTTTCCTGTTGGTTTAGGGACAGAGCTAGAAACCTTAAGGAGAGGAGACAAGATTCTGGCTCCTGAAGCACAGGTCCAGGGATGGACAGACCCCAGGGACTCGCAATCTAAAGCAGATTGCCCTGTCGGGAAGAACCTCCTTCGGAAGACCTGAAGCAACAGTCCTGGGGAGAGCTGGTAAGAGGACCGTCAGAATCGCTATTCTTGAGTGTCACTAGAGACACAGCTTCCCCCTGCCACCCTCAGCGACGTGAGGAGTTCCTCTAACCTTTTAGAGACTTCAGCTCAGTTGATGGCTTTGACGCTGAAAAGAATTCAGCACTAACCAACTTATGAAGCAGAGTTACACGAACACGTTTGATACGGGGCTCACCATATAACACTGGCTAGCCTGGAAATCTCTCTGTAGACTAGGTTGGCCGTGAACTCACAGAGATCTGCCTGTTTCTATCTTCCCTGTGCTAGAATTAAAGGTGCATTCGACAACTACCAGCCTAAAGCTGTATTTATTTATTTGTTTATTTATTTATTGTAGCCATGTAAATTTAATTAGTTGCTAGATTAGCAGACAGATATGTTAAGCTGATGAGGATAGGTCCATAAACTTAGGAGGGGCAGGTTACATTTATGCCACTTGAAGTTTAGACATTCAACAGGACTGCTTTTTAATACTGAATATAAAACCTCTTGCCCCACCCCCCAAATCAATGTATTAACCCTGGTTTCTAAAATTATCCAAACTTCCTTTTAAACACAATTTTAATTTTTTATACTTAAATATTTTCTTTAGCAAACATATCCAGATACTAAGCTTCACTTTATAATTTTGTGTCAGAATATCCCAAACTGTTCAACGTTCCTCTAAGCCACAACAGCTGAGATCTTTTTTTCCCTTTAAAACATTTCTCTTTTCATTGCCATTCTCTAAGATATTCTGTAAAGGGGCCAAGTGTACAGCTCAGGAACAGAGCCCATTTTTTTGAGGCCCTGGGTATGATTCCATCACCCCAAGAAGAAAGGGGGGGAAAGCCTGAAAAAAAAAAACAAAAAAATATCAAACCCCTGTAAATTCTTCTTCACGTCTGTTATAGTGCAGCAATTTGTCATCTCTCCCATAGCAGTCGATCAACTTGGTGAGGGTCAGTTTCTCATCCCCGGACATGATGGACTGCAGCTCACGCAGCAGCCGCGGGTCACATTTCCTCCACTTCCTTGTTAAATCCTCTAACTCAGTCACAACATTCTTTATCCTGTACATCGTGACTGACTTTAACCTCCGAAGAAGGTCTTCCTTCTCTTGAACCTGCCTAGTCAATTTTGCTTTTTCTTCCTTTAAACTTTGTTTAGTCGTCTTGGTCTCAGCATCTTTTTGAGTGGCACTAGATGACCCAGTGTCAGGTGACTTAGAGTCACATGCATTTTTACTCTCTGAGCTCTCTTTTTCAGGTTCACTGTCTTTGTTTTTCAAGCTTTCTTGGGCCTTTGAACAATTTTCTTCTTTTGAAGATTCTCCTGGTTCTGGAAGGGTCTGATCATTTTCTTCATTCTCTACCTTAATACGCTTCACCACACTACAAAAAGACTGAGATGAAGACCTTGCTTTCTTTAATCTCTCTTTAGATGTTCCAGTAATAGGTTGCTTTCCTGAACTTTTCGAATGGGGTGATGGTGGATTCTCACTGGTCTTAGGAGTATCAGGTGAAGTCGGGGGTGATGGTGGATTCTCACTAGTCTGAGGAGCATCAGGTGAAGTAGATGCTGAATCTGACGGATTTTCCATCTTGGAAGTGATCTCCTGATTTCCGTATTCGTCAGCCATACTCACAGCACAAACACAGCGTACATACAACCCTAAAGCTGTTTTAAATACAGACTTAAGCACAAGGATTAAGAGAGAGATACCTAGGCATAAAATAAAAGACACTTGTAGGCTGCTCAAAGAATCTCAGGAAGTTAGACATAGCCACGTGGGTATAGGCTTCTCCAGGGAGATCAGCAGTTGATTTTCTTTTCTTTTTTTCCTCTCAGTTTCTTGAAACAGGATTTCTCTGTGTAGCCCTTGCTGTCCTGGAACTGTAGACCAGGCTGGCCACAAATCCCAAAGAACCTCCTGGCTCTGCCTCCAGAGTGCAGGAATTAAAGTCATGTTACATTAGCCATGTATACTTATTGTGGTGGCTTTCAGGTTACATCTCAAAAGGGATTCTAAGAACCCTTGTTATTCCCTTCACACAAGAAGTTGTCTGATAAGACAAGTAATTGAGCCGGGCGGTGGTGGCACACGCCTTTAATCCCAGCACTTGGGAAGAAGAGGCAGGCGGATTTCTGAGTTTGAGAGTTCGAGGCTAGCCTGGTGGTCTACAGAATGAGTTCCAGGACAGCCAGTGCTACACAGAGAAACCCTGTCTTGAAAAAACCAAAACAAAACAAGTTAAGTGAGCTGGCTTCTGAGATTCTTTGATGGTATTATAATCTAATAAAGTGAAATCAGGAATTCTGATGGTTGTTAAATGGGATAGTGTCGGTCCTTTCTCTGTAAATGGGATTTATGGTGAGATTTCTAGAACATGGAAGGTTTACAGCTGGGAAGGAAGAAAGACCTTAAGTGGTTGGTAAGTGTACTGCTGGAATTCTCACTTCATTGTTGACCCCAAAGTATCAACTTGCTTCCAGGATGAGGAGTTCTTTTTCATGTCCCCCAAAGTCTCTCTACCTTTCAATATTGCCTTGGAGCTATTGGAAGACCAAAAGCTGGTCTTCTCATGAGGTCAGAGATGACTCTCCCTTGATGCAGACTCTTTTGGTACCCTGACTCGCTTTTATTTTGTTTTTTTTTTCTTCCCAGAAGATGGCTCATGACCAGCCTCTGCTAGTTGTGCAGGAGGCCCTGAAGAAGTGCTTCCCTGTGGTGGAGGAACAGCAGGACCTGTGGCAGAGTACTCTGCAGGACTGCTCACCCCTCCTGTCCTCTCTCAGCAATCTGGCTGAGCAGCTGCAAGCAGCACAGAGTCTGCGGTTTGAGGATGTGCCAGCCCTTTGTCCTTTTCCAGACTTACAGGAGCGGTTGAGGCGCAAGCAACTGGAGGCTGGTGACATTGTTCTGGACAAGCTAGCTGAGAGGCTGTAAGATGCTCTGTGTCCCCCTTTGTTGATGGAAAGATCTTAATGCTGCATGGCATCCCAGCTTCAGTCAGGGTGGGCCTACAAAAGTTAACAAAAGCCAGGAGTAATCGTGCAGGGGGCTAAGTAAGTAAACAAACAAATAAATAAAAATAACCTCAAACCAACCTAATAAATGCAAGAAATTACAAAAGCAGATAAAAAGAACGGAGGAAGAATGCAGTCCTCTTCTGGTGACATCCTTGCTGTGCGGTAGGTCAGTGAGAGCCAGGACTTAGGACTGTATGTACAGTACCTTGTACACCTCGGGCTTATCCCTGCTCATGCATTTAGAAGCAAGAAAACAGAAAATCAAACTGCCCTGAAATCAGAGCCAGTGAGAAATAGAGCCGGGATTCTGAAGTGTGCCTGTTGTTTCAGCTGGGGCTCTTCACCACCACTTGATTCTACACACAAGTGGATACATGTAACTAGTCCATGGAACAGTAACAACCCAGGTGTTACACAGATACTGTTTCCTTTGCTTGTTGTAATGTTAGTCACAGTCTATAAGCAGGACCTATAGACTTGAGAGTTTTGGATTGTTTCCTGTTTTTACACCATAAGCCACAGTCAGATATTTAGAGCTAGAGTTCTGGGCTAGGGGATCCCTTGTCTATTGGGAAGTTGCAGCCTTTGTTTTAGTGATGGGTCCCTTAGAGTCAGCATTAGAACAATATGTAGGCACTGCCAAAGGCACCTTGTACATATCATCATATTTATTTTTCTAGTGACAATTCATTCACTGATTCACTATGTGTTTGCTGTTCTTGGAAGACACAGTGAGCAATGGAGCCTTTATTCACAGGGGAAATAACTCGCTTTCTCAAGCAGTCTGTACATGCTGAGCCCATATTGCCATTCAAGAACCAGCCAAACAAGGTGGTTAAGATGGCTCAGTGGGTAAAGTGGGCTCACTTGCTGTGTGAGCCCGATGACCTGGGTTCCATCCACAGGACCCATGGAAAGGTGGAAGACCAGAGTGGACACCACTCACTGAATTAAAAAGGGTGTAGCTCAGTGGTAGAGCACTTCCCTAACATGTGGGTTAGGGTTTGAGTCCCCTCTGAAAACTTCAAAATGGCAGTAGTGATTTGAGAAACCTAACCCCCTATCTTGTTTGGAACACTTCCTAACACTCTGCTTTCCCACAGAGCCACCCTCCTCGAGGTTCGGAACACCATCAGCAGGCATGTGGAGCGGGTGTTTCAGGCCTATGAGCAGCATGCGGCTGTGCTTGACATTGAGACCATCCTAAGGCCCTCAGCTGTGAGCCCCTCCGTGGTTGACATGTTGGAGTGGCTCCAAGATATTGACAGACATTATCGAAGCTCGTATCCTTCCAGTGCCTCCTGACTGCCCAGAGCTGCCCCTGGAAGCCGTGCGGAGGGGGTTCAGATTTTATGGGTCAGCAGGCTGTAGAATTTGCTGCAATTCTCTAGTGCTCAAACTTAGATTCTTCTTGAGTTAGTCTTTTTTTTTTTTTTTTAATAGTCATTCCTTACCGTTTATCTGCTAGGCACTACTCTAAGTGCTGGGAGCAGGCTTAAAAATGGGGAGTGTATAGTGTCAGATGTGGTGAGTGCCAAATAAGGCAGGACAGGTGAGGGAATGTGGGCTGTGACTTTAATAGTGTGGTTGGGGCAGGAGCCCGTGAGGCAGTGACATCCTGAGACAGTGATATCACAGCATTTGAGCAAAGTTTGAAAGTGGAAAGGAACGAGCCATGTGAGTATTTGGAAGAAGAGTCCAGGCAGAGGGTTGATGGAGTGAGCGCCTGGGTGGAGCATGTCTGGTCCATGCAAGAGCTGAGGCCAGTGGGCCGAGGGCAGGGCAGGAGAGGGCCAAGGGCAGGGCAGGCGAGGGCCTTGCTTTTCTGAGAAGGATCTTGAAGGTTTTGGCTGTTACTCTGAATTCAAAGTTCTCAGAAACTTTAAGCAGAACCACGTGGTCAAAACCTATGCTAAACAGTGCTGGCCAGGTTCTGAAGCACAATTGACATGGCGGGGATCAGCCTGAGAGCAGAAAATTGGCTGGAGTTCTGTCCTTTTCTTGATTCTTGTCTGTGACCGTCATCTGACCCTGGTTTTCTCCCTTTACTGTTGTTCCTAGTCCTGAGTCTCAGTTTCCTGTGGCTGTCTCCAGCTGCTCACTTAGTGAGCTACAAATTCAAGTTTAAAGCTGCACATGGACCAGCAGTGCCCACTGCGTTACTGATTTTCATGTTGTGATCAAGTATCAGACACACAGCAGGAAGGACAGATTTGTTTCAGGTCATAGCTGAGGGAACATAGCCATCACGGAGAAGAGCACACCTGCATCAGGAAGCAGGGAGTGCTGACTGCTGGTGCTCTGTTCACTCCCTGTTCGCTCTGGGACCCCAGCCTGTGGACTGACGCCGTCCACAGTCAGAGGGGTCTTCCCACTTCATTTAAACCTTTCTGGAGACACTATCACAGACAACTCATGTCATGTTTCCATGGTGATTCTAAATCCAGTGAAACTGACAGAGGAGATTGTCACCTAATCTGGAAGTGTAGGGATGGCCTTCCTCATTTCCCTCCATTTTCTATTATAACTGCAATGCGGCAGTACTAGGTGTGCTAGTGGCGGCCACTAACACTGACGTCACTAAGCACTGCCATAGGCTAGGTACTGAAAGGCACTGGTTGGCTCTACTGCTCTGCCTTTGTTTTTAGTCACATGGCTGAGATGGACCACATTCAACGGTAGTCCCATAAGAGCACATGACCTCGTGACACAGACATCTTGGTTTAAGTAAGTTCCTTTTTTTTTTCCTGAGTAATCCTTAACTTCTGGGAAGGTACCTGAAGAGAAAATACCTTCTCTCCTCTATCCACTGGGGAGACTTGGCCAGCATCCAAGCACTGCCCAAGGCCTGGGACCAAATTTCAGAAGATGAGTGCCAGACGCTTGTGTCAGGTACTAGTGTCTGTCAGTCCTGTGCTGCCCTCCTTCCTCTGTGGCTGGCCTCTTTGGAAGTGCTGTGCTTTTGGGCCTTGATAAACCTGATGCCTTGTACCTTTCTTCCTGTTCTAGATATCCTGGTGAGTGTCTCCTTCTTCCTGGAGGAGCCAGGAGGCTGTGCAGTGTCTGGAGATCTGGAGCACCGCAGTTGAGGGCTGCCATTGCTACCCTAGGCTATTTCTAATGAGGGTCAGTGTTGCTACCTGAAATACCAATGCCTACGGTAGAGGCCCTTGACTTCTCCATGCTAGGCCATGGTCAAGGGTCCATGGCCGCCACACCTGTGGCTCTGAGAAGAGGATAGAGGCGGAGGAGACAGGAAAACCAGCGCTGATAAACAGTGTCCACCAGGACAGGAAAGGGCAGAAGGCTAAATTGTGTGGCACTACTTACTGCCTATGTCATCTGAACCACCTTCTCTGGTTGGCCCAAGTCCTGGTTCTGTGTGTGTCAGTATCTTCGTCCTTAATGGCTTAAAGATACGAGTGGGTCTGAGTCCAGGGCGAGAGCAGTGTGTGTGAGGGGGGAGTTAGGGTAGGGGGGCCGGCAGAGTCAATCCCCCTGCAAACCCCAAAAAAGGGAGGGACTGAAGGAAAAGGAACATGTAAAATGTTTACCCCTTCACAGATACTCATCAACCCAAGTTTCATTTCCAATGTCAGCCACCAGAGGGCGATGGTGCAGCATGAGCGATTCTGAATGCCTTGTTCTTGAGGGCGGTACCCTGTTGCTGTTAAAAGTGACTGAGGTGCTGGGCAGTGGTGGCTCATGCCTTTAATCCCAGCACTTGGGAGGCAGAGATAGGCGGATTTCTGAGTTCGAGGCCAGCCTGGTCTACAGAGTGAGTTCCAGGACAGCCAGGGCTACACAGAGAAACCCTGTCTCGAAAAACAAAAAAAACAAACAAACAAACAAAAAGTGACTGGGGTTGTGATGGGGAGCTGGATATCCCACCCAGGACTAGGGAGGCAAAACAGGTGGATCTCTGTGATTTTGAGATCATCTTGGTTTCCATAGCTCCAGGCCAACCAATGCCACATACTGAGACTGTCTCAAAAAAGAAGAGAGAAGGAGGTAAGGGAGTAATAGTGAGACTCCCCAAATGACAGGGCTAAAGGACTTCTCACTGGCCACATTCTTCTGAGTTTGGGGTGATTGGCCAGGGAAGAGGATGCCGGCTGTGATGGTTGGTTTTTATAGTCTGCTTGACACATGCAGAGCCACCTAGGAAGGGAGTCTCAGGGAGGAATGTTCTAGATTTGGTTGGCTTGCAGACATGCTTGCAAGATTTTCTTACCTGAGGTGAGAAGATCCATCCTGAATGTGGATGGCAGGATATCATGGGCTGGAGCCTGGGTCAGAGGAGAAAGAGCAGGCTGAGCACTGGGGGCACGCACTAACTGGTTGCCTTTGATGGGGCGTGTGCTGTGAGCAGCTGCTTCCGGTTCCTGCCTCCGGGCCTCCGTAGTGGTAGACTGTAGCTTCACATTGTGAGCGTCCTGAGCCCTCTGTCCCTTCACTTGCACCTGTCGGTGTATTTTATCATGTTTTAGGGTTCTCTAAAGGAATGGCACTAACGATAGAATGAATGAATGGAGAAAGGGGTACTGGGGGCCGGGAGAGGGAGAGCAGGCAGGCCCAGAGCAAAAGCTTTCTTTTTCCGTATGATGGGCTCCCATCACGAGGTGTGGCCCAGATTTGGGATGGGTCTTCCCACCTCAAATAATCCAGATTTAGGGTGGGTCTTCCCACCCCAAATGATCCAATCAAGAAAATCCCTCACGGGCATGCCCAGTTGACTGAGTCTTAGTTGATTCCAGATGTCACGTTGACAGTGAAGATTAGCCATCACATGCAGTAACAGGAAGAACTGAAAAGCAGCCTTGAGTTGGTGCCGGACCTTGCCTTCTGTGCAGCAGCCACTGCCTGGGGCCCCAGCTTCCCATATGCTGTGTAAGTCAAGGCTGCATGTACAGGGCTTAATGCAGAGAATGGATTTATTTTAGTAATTGATTTTTTTTAAGACAGGGTTTCTCTGTGTAGCCCTGGCTGTCCTGGAACTCACTCTGTAAACCAGGTTGATCTCAGAGATCCACCTGCCTCTGCCTCCTGAGTACTGGGGTCAAAGGTGTAAGCCACTACTGCCCCCCGTCCCCAGCTGAGGATGGATACTTTTAAAAAGAAAGTGGCTTTGTTTTCTTACTACATTTTTTTTGTTTTCAATTAAAGAAAAAAATTAAATACAGAAAAGCATAGTGCAAAACCCACTCTAATATTTTGATCTGTATCCCTTTACTGTTCTTTACAAATTTCAAAACAAAAACACTGATACAAACTCATTCTTTTTAACTTTGTGGATAGTGGGACATCTGTAAATAAGTCAATAAAACTGTACTATATAGACTATATGACATTTGGTAAATTATTACTTTTTTTTGCTTTTTATGCATGTTTGTATATATGCATGCATGCTTGTGTATATGAGTGTGTGTGTCTGTGTGTGTGTGTCTGTGTGTGTTTGTGTGTGTCTGTGTGTGTGTGGTGACCAGAGGATGACTTTAGGTGTTATCCTTAGGAATGCCATCCTCCCACTTTGAGGCAGGGTCTCTCATTGGCTTTGAACTTACCAGTTAAACTCCCTTGGCTGGCCAGTGAGCTCCAGAATCCTTCTCCCTCCATCTCCCAAGTTCTGGGGTTGCCACACACCTGATGATCTTCCTCAGCCTCTCAAATGCCAGAGTGAGAGGTGTGCTACCATGCCTACCGTTAGTATTGACCCTTATGCTGAGCCCTGGGTATAGAGATGAAAGAAAGCCACTGGGAGTATTATAGTTCAGGCAGGATTTTTTTTAATGTGTATGAGTATTTTGCCTGCATATATGTCTGTACACCATTTCTGTGCCTGGTGCTGAGACCAGAAGAGGGCATGAGATCCTCTGAAACTGGAATTACAGATGGTTGTTAGCTACCATGCAGGTGCTGGGAAGTGAGTGTGGGCTTTTTATAAGAGCAGCTGGTGCTCTCAACCTTTGACATATTTCTGCAGCCCTAGGCCAAACAGTTTTGAATTCATGTTTCTAAAACTTAGATGTGCATGTAAATGACCAATAGCTTATGAAAATGTAGATTCTTGTTGAAGGGGCTCTAGCTGGCCCGAACTGGCCAGTGTGGCTCTGGTAGACCTTGCCCCCCACCCCCACCCCATCCCCTCTGCCTTGTTACAAACCTTTAGATCATATTCCTAAAGCTAGTCATCAAGGTCTATTCCTTTATTTAGTCACTTCCTCTGACTAAGGCTGACCACCAGGGTCAAGCTATCAAAGTATTGAAGTCCAGCAATCAAAAGCCCCACTTTGGCTCATCTAATTAACATAACTAATTAAAATTAAATACCTCATCCTAACCAGGTGTTTCTCCTTTGCCTTTATGAACTGCCATTTTCCTGTGGGCCACATCTGTCTCTATCCAGAGGCAGTCCTCCATCATCCAGAATAAATACCCCTTCCCCCTCTCCCTTATTCCCGCCCTTCCCTTTCTTCCTTGTCCTCTATCTCCTGTCTTTGCTTCTTATTCTCTGCCCTTGTCCCTCTGGTAAATAAATCAATAAATCACCTTTGTGCTGAGAACTTGGTCCTGGAGGTCCTAGGCTGAGAGTGACCTTTTACACTCATCCTGTAGGTATGGGGTGGACCCAGGAGTCTGTTTCTGATGAGGTCTCAGGTAATGTTAATGCTGGTGCTCTAGGCATTGTAAAGAATCTGATTCTGATTGTGATTCAGATTTGTATTATAAAGTAACAGAATGGGTACAGTTGAGATCAAAAGTACTGCGGGAGAAAAGAGGCACTGACTGCCTGGGGACTTGATGGAGTTGTATACCAGCACCATGCTTACATTTACTCCCAGAGCCCGGCACGTTAATAAAATTCAGAACAAAACTATGTAGAGTTCATAGGATAGGATGACAAGACCCCCCCATCTGTGAGGGCAGCTTGGGCCAGATTGTGTAGAACCTTGAGTTTCCAGTTAACAGTTTGTATTGGGGACGAGGGATTGGGGGAGATGGCTTTCAGTAAAGTGCCTGCTGAACAGGCCTGAGTGTTCTTGGCACTCATACTAAAGCCAGGTGCAGTGGCGTGGACCTGTGATCTCAGTTCTGGGGAATAAGACAGACTCTGGGGCTTGCTGGACAGTGAGTGAGCTTCGGTTCATTAAGAGATCTTGTCTCAAAAAGGGGGAGTGTGGAACAATAGAACTAGACCCCTGACATCTGTTTCTGGTCTCCATGTGCATTTGCACACACACACACACACAAGTTCTTATCTATAGCACAAAATACACTCGTGTGTGTATGTGTGTGTGTGTGTGTGTATGTGTGGTGTGTGTAGTCGTGTGCTGTGTAATACTTCAGCCGTTGGAAGACTTCGTTCTATCTAGGAGGATGGTCCCATAACACAGTATTGCTAATGACTTCCTAGGCATCTTTGCTGAAATACACCCTGTTTGTTTCATACAGCAGAATCACTGATGTGTGTCTTTCAGAGTGTACCTTCATTAATAAGTACAGTCGTGTATATTAAATGTTTGTATTATAAAGCTACATCTGTCTCCTTGACACAGGTATTTAAGGCATTTACTAATAACTTTTTTTGGGGGGGGGGTTGGTTTTTTGAGACAGGGTTTCTCTGTGTAGCCCTGACTGTCCTGGAACTCACTCTGTAGACCAGGCTGGCCTCGAACTCAGAAATCCGCCTGCCTCTGCCTCCCAAGTGCTGGGATTAAAGGCGTGCGCCATCACTGCCAGGCAATAACTATTTTTTTTTTAATGTATATGAGTACACTGTCACTGTCTTCAGACGCACCAGAAGAGGGCATCAGATCCCATTACGGATGGTTGTGAGCCACCATGTGGTTGCTGGGAATTGAACTCAGGACCTCTGGAAGAGCAGCTGGTGCTTTTAACCTCTGAGCCATTTCTCCAGCCCCCACTAATAACTTATTAAAGTAGAATTGGTTTTTTTCCACCCTTAGGTTTTCTATTAAAAATGCTACCATTCTTTTTTGCATGAATGGATTTTAAGTGCCTGATGCCTGTGGAGGGCAGAGGAGAGGATAGGATCCCCTGGAACCAGGGTTACAGATGGTTACAAGCTGCCATGTGGGGATTGGGAACTGAGCTTGGGTCCTCTGCCAGAGCAAGTGCTTTTAACTACTGAGCCCTCTCTCTAGTCCCTAAAATGCTATTTTTTCATTATTATTTTAGACTTAAAATCTAAAATAAATGTGATTTACTTGTTGAATAAGGTACACATGACCTGAAGTGTAAAATTCAATGAAAACTTCTCTCCCATCTGCCCAGTTCCCCTCATTGCAGACAGCCAGTGCTAAGCGCCTCTGGTGTTTCTATGTAGTGGGTATTCTCTGAGGTGGTCCCTGGTCAAGTCACCTCTGATGTTCATGACCCTGTTCACTCTTTGCCACCCTTTGATATGGGCTGCTTTGTAGTTCCTCTTCTAGTGAGTAGAACAGTGAAAGTTCCAGAAATCGGTTATAAAGAGCACTACTTTTCCAGCAGCTAAAAGCATTGGTTGCTCTTCCAGATGACCCGGGTTCAATTCCCAGCACCCACATGGTGGCTCACAACCATCTGTAGCTCCAGCTCCTGGGAATCCATTGCCCTCACACAGACATATGCTGCAAAACACCAATGAAATAAAAATAAATCATCTAATAAAAGAACACTGCTTTTATTTTGGATGCTGCCTCTTGCTCTCTCTTGTATTCCCCTCTTAAGGGAAGTTAGCTAAGATGCTATGAG